GGCCAGAGCATCAAAAAACTCTTTGGAGAGAAATTCATACTATTACCTTTGCAGGATACTGTCAGGTTGCCCAGGCTTAGACAGGAGAATGGTTAGGGTTCTCAACCAAAGCCTTTGGTTCAGAAACATGACCGCAAGGCGGCAGGTTTGGCGGTGGGTTACAAGGAGTCCGTTTTAAGTAATAAGGTGCCACCCTCATTCCAACCCCCAGCCTGGAGAACCAGGAGGCTGAGATTTTCTGGCCTCTAACCATTGACCAATCTGGTTTGAGTGGCTCTGAAGGTGCAAAAATGGACCACCCAGCATAGCTCAATGGATCGCTGAGGCACACAAACGATCGCACCACGGTAAGGTCCAGCCTCATTGCGATGGAGTGACTGGCATTAGTGAATATTTGAAACGTCAGTTCTTCGCCGGAGTGGATGTCCGTAATGTCCAACCTTGAAATTCCGCTACCTCGAGCAGAGTTCATCAATGACCTGTTGAACACTTCGAATTTGCCCTTTGAAAAGTCCGGAAAACATTGCAAGTGTGCATTTCGTCCATTGCGATAATATGCATGCGCTGATGAACCATAAGATCAGATAATTAGGCACAGATGAAGACCTAAGTCAAGAGAATCACGTTAGGTTCCTGACATTAGTGAATGTTTCGTTCATGTGGTGGGACCAAGTGAGATCACCACGTAGTGTAACTCCTGGATATTTCACCAATGTGTATTAGTCCAGACTGACCTTGTCAATACTAAGATGTGGGGTGTGCGTGAGGAGTTGCTAACAACGATTTTAGTTGGACATCGAGAAAAGAACGTTTACACTGATGCGTAATTTAGCTCACATCTGATGGGAACACCGCGTGAGCAACGAGCGTGTTCGACGCCCTGTTTATGGCACAGTAAAAGTAAATGAACCGCTCAGCACCGTCATTTCACGCACCAGGCTCCGATGGCTCGGCCACGTGTTACGCATGCCAGCCCACCGACTCCCGCGACGAGCGTTGTTTGCGCGCCGGGGGTGTGGATGGAAGAAGAGGAGGGGTAGCCAAGCGATGACTTGGTCGAGAGGAATGAAGGCCCTCACTTCTGAGCTGGCCTCGGTTGGAGCGTCTCGGCTCTCTGGTTGGGGTCCGAAAGACGATGAACACGTTTGGTTGGACACACTTGTTGATATGGCAAGGTGCCGACCTCAGTGGCGTTCGTGCTGTGAGTTTCTTTGTCCTATCCCACCCCTCTTAGCCTCTCCCTCCAACCACGATCTCACTATTTAGCCTTGCATAATTTAGCATAGTAACTTTTTTGATGCGCAGTAGCTTGTTGGTAGCTTTACCGGAACAATGCCCATCCGTTACCGGTAGCTCAGTCGGTTTGCAAGAGTTGTTTTTCTTCCATTTTTATGTATTGCGGCACAGCAGCTGTGGGGTTCCCCACCTTCGCCTTCGCCTTCAGGCATGGCGATGTGGGAAGGTAGGTCCGTTTTGCTGCCTCCTTCTCAATAATGCAGTCAACAGTTGACTTGTATTACTACTATTTACAGCCAGTTGTTCTTCCTAAATGTGACGGATGTGGTGTTTCATGTCCGTCTTAATTATAAGGCGTTGGATTCTCAGTAATACGCTGAAGTCGTGAGTACGTTCAGGTGTTCGAGTTAGCACTCGTATTTTCCGTTTGTCCTTTGCGTTGTTAGCGTACTTAGAAGAGGCTTTCGTATTATCACGGAGGCAAGTATGTTTAAGCATATAGTCACATTGTCATAGAAGATGTCAAAAGCTCCCTTAATATCAGACAAAAGAAAGAAATGGTCCCAAATTTGGATCCTAAGCAGAGCGGAGAAAGCTACCCGATTAACATTTTGCAGGAAGTATGGAACCACCGCTATAATTTTACATCCGACTATTTTGTGATCACATCCAGCGAGACTGTCAAATACATCAGTAGTTATATCGGAGGTGCCTGAGGTAAAGAGTAGGTCTAGTATATTTTTACCCCTGGTAGCAACGAGAACATATTGTTCCCAATCACCAGTGATGACGGATGTTATGAACTCAGCATGTTTCGCGTTTGTTACCAAGTTTGAACAACAGATATCTGGTTGGTTAAAATCTCAACCTACGACTGTACCAAAAGAATAAGTTCCGATATGTGATTGAAGATGTCAACCAACTGGTTCTCATCACTGAAGCTAGCCTCGAGTGAGCGGTATCTACAGTCTGCAAGTTTTCGCTTAGTACCGAAGGACAAGAGTAACCAAGCGGAATCAATAGTTGGGCATTTAAATGTAAGTGTGAATTCAGAGACAAGTGGGTTTTGTGAGTAGCAATTTATGCAACCACCTCCTCTGCCTTGCGTTCGATCACTTCTAATAAGCTTGTAACCTTCGGTAGAAAGCAGCTGGCTGTGCATAGAATCATGACACCAGGTTTCAGTGAGTAAAATCATATCAGGTTTATTTATACATGAAGATGCGGAGTAAATGAAGTTTATTCAACAGAGAACGGAGATAAAGTGTCTTGTCTTAAAAAGTCCTGGCGATCTCCTTCTCCTCATTTCGCGTATCATGCGGAATAACTTACCATGGTTACCATCTCCGATGCACGATAAGACCACCAGGATTCATGGTCTGTCTTCAGGCCAGCAGCGAAGGTTGTGAGTCTTGTGTTCGCTTTCAGCCAGAATACGTTGGTGAGCATCCAAGAGTTCTAGAGAACGTGAACAGACCCATTGTCTAGGTTGGCAGTTTGATTTGCCACATGAAGACATGCCTACTGCTAATAACTTCTAGTGGATATGCAACCATTAGCCGTCTACTCTGAATGAAGAGCACTTACTCAGGTCTGATGCCAGCGTACTTTGATACTCATCTGGCTTCGCCAATTGGCAAGTATCCATGCCATCACAGCGTCGCCGCATGCGCCCACCGAAGCAAATAGTAAGATCGGAACGAACGACTGTATGGTCAGAGTCCACGCTCGTGCTCCAAATCGAGCGACAGTTTTGGATACAGCCTCTAGCGGTAACTGATCGCGATGTGATCGATTTGCGTTCCTGGCTAATCCGAGACCGGTTTGCGCTAAGTCCCTCTTCTAAATGCGGTGTGTCGAAACTTTGTGCTCGCGAAGGATAGATCAGCATCTTCGTACAGAAGTATCAACGACTCACCGTTATCATTACGGGTGTCTACACCGTGTTGGCCGCTCAAATGTAGCTCATCAGTGGATAGTTTTCTAACCTGGGTGTTCAATTCACCAATCATCACCACAATATCCGTATTTTTCCTATAATGACTGAACTCGTTTAGTTGGTGATATTACTCACCTTCCACCAAATCAGCGCTACAGTTCATGTGCGCATAATCCGCTAAAACAAATAGACTTCGTTCATCTGCACGCGACTTCGAATCTTTTAACGACGATGCACATCGGGCTGTTAATTTGGATCCAGTCAACCATAGCAGCTTCAGCCCAGGGACTCGGAGCAACACCAACACCGGCTTGACCAATATTCGAGGCTGCGATATTCGGATGACCGAATTTAGAAATAGCCACCTATTCACGGCACTGGAATTTTGGATGTGGTTTTCCGGTAAGTAGCAAATATCGATCCATAGAGCCTCCAGTGACCGGGCAATTGCTGCCTGTTGTCCAGTCTGAAACAAAGCGCGCACGTTGAAGCATCCCAGTTTTAGCGAGGATTGAGGACTCCAAAGGGAAATGGATGAAGTGATGCTGTCCCCTTGGTTGAACATTGACTAACCGACTATACCAGAGCGACGTCTTGCGACTGCGTGTGTGTCTAAATTAGAAGGCGAGCGACCATTGCAGGAAAATGGTGTAGGGCTAAAAATTGGGAGAGGGAGTGGGACGATGAGGATGGAAATGCGCGGGAAGGCTTGAGCGGTAGCATCCAAACCCATGTCCACACTGCTCGATGCAGCAGAGAAGGCACCGATGAGTATCCTCTACGACGGCTAGTGCATCAAAAAATCGTTAGGGGAGTTTTTTGTATGGCTGAAAATGCTTCCACGCAGGTGTATAAAGCTTGACTTGATACTGTCAGGTTGCCTAGGTCTAGACAAAAGAATGTTTAGTATTCTCTACCAAAACCTTTGGTTCTGAAACCTGACTGCAATGCAGTGGGGTTTCAGCACTGGGCTACGGAGTCTGTGAGGGTATGCGGGTGTTCTCCGAGCTGGCTGATTTGGTTGCAAACGTTTCATCGTCAGACTAGACGACATCATCAGTGCGGTTTCTTGAAGTAAGGAACCACCCTCACTCCAAAGCCCAACCTGAAGTGCCAAGAGACTGAGTTGGTCTGTCTTTACTACTACTGACCAATTTGGTATGAATGTAAAATAAATAGATAATGAATCTCCAGCTGTACGCCGTAACTTCGCGTCGCTGCCAAGCGACCACCTCCAGTCGCACGTGGGCTGAGTATACCGCGAGGACGCCCGTCCCTACGCGGATTCGAACCGGTGACCTTATGGTTGCAAACCAGACCACCACTCTGCCACCGGCCGACTGGTATGAATGTGCAAAAAAAGCACCACCCAGCATAACACAATGGTTCGCTGAGGCACACCACCACACACCACGTTGAGGTCCAATCTCGTCGCAACTCGTAGACATTTGGTTGCTCGTAGCACGCCCTCATCCCATAAGTTTCCCTACCCTTAGTGCTCTTTGAATGAGCCGGCACTCATCAATTCGATTACTTTTTTTAAACACATTTCCACATTCAATCGCATCAGTTCACCAACTGACTGCTCTGAGACTACGTTCAGCCGAACTCTATCTAGGCAGATAGAGGCGTATCTGCTGGACCAGTGCCTGCTTGACAAAATCCATTCGTGGCATATCCTTGTAGCGTTGTATTTCCTCTTTAGAAGCATTGCTTTTTTGATTTGGTATTATTGATTGTCATCTACGGGAATTTTCTGATCAGTGCTTCGATCCGATTTTCCTCCTTACCATCATTCTGGTCCTTTTTGCGATCTGATCCACAGAGTCTTCCAACCTCGTTGATTTACCCTTGCCCAGACCGCCGCTGGATTCCATAGCCTCAGGTGACGCCTCCAGCAACACTATTACTTCCAACTCCAGTCCACGCACTCCCATTGGTCTGAGTATTCCACACTCAGTCACTCTACCGCCATTGTCTATGGGTCCGGTTGAATCGGGTGACAATGCAAGTGAAAAGACAGCGGATGTGGCCAGTCTAGTCGCTGACCTGGCCTGTGGTGTGTGCGGTAAGCTCACTCAGCCGCCCAGACTGGAACCCGATGGCAAGTCCATGAATCCCAATATGCTGGTGGAATGCGTGCAATGCAAGGCGTTATATCACCAACTTTGCCATGATCCTCCTCTTCTCTTATCTTCCACTGCGAGAAATCCACAGGAGTGGCGTTGTGGGAATTGCTGCGATTCTTCGATGTGCTCCTCTCCTGGACCGCAGCCCACTTCGTCATCCTCCCTACCAATGGATGTGGGCACGGAGTGCTCGTCCATTGGTTCGCCTATTACTATTGGAGCTCGCAAACGTAAAGGCGGCCTTCCCAGCGCCATATTTGGTCCAAGCAGTCTGAAGTCCTAACAGCACCATCCACTCCGTCTTCATATTTACTTTCATCATTTCGACATGTTATCTGCAGTACTGGTCAACCAAATTTCCTATTTCTCATGCGTTTAAAAATAGTTTTTTCTACTCCGCTTGCCTTTTACTTTTACGCCCTGCCACCCCCACGTTTCACTTCTATGTAGCCAGTGGGGCAGCCGTCTTAATGTTCATTTCCGCTCTTTCTGGTACTCGACGACATCAAGGGAGAACGGGTACTATGGATTAGGCTGCATTCGATTGGTTTGTTTGACTTCGTTTACTTTCCAAAGACCAAGCTCTTTATGATGCCATCGGTTCACCGGCTGCTTGCATTTGACAAGTTTGGATGAAAGGGCTACCCTGTCCTCTGCACGTCAGTGACGTGCAACTCTGTTTCTAGTAAGCGGTGGTGTATCACATCCAACAACAGTTCTATCGTTCGTTACCGTCCCACCTAACTCAGTGGCCTCAATCCCAGTTTGACAACCGTTCATTTGCGGATTCGTGCGCCTCACGGATCGGATGGAATGCATACTGCTGACGATTTCCTTGCGGATGATACAGCCATACTGTGCTTTTCCGGACGTGTGATGGCCATCCTACCGAATCTAGATAGGATGAATTTCTACTTATACAATTATGAAAACTTGATTCTTGTGTTCCTTTACGTCCTTAGTTGCTCCTGTCGACGACTTCTTTCGGGATGCGTTCTTTATTGCTCTATCTGCTACAGATCAAGTCAGGAAATTGCTTTATACACCGTTGGCAGGTTTCCATTCAGGTATTAAGCTCACAATCTCAGCAATCTACCAAAAGACAAATCCATTGCGAAACAGTACGCAATCACCATGTGAATCGCTTGGTGTCTCATACAAAACGTGAAACCTAAGGGATGACTGATGACCAGTAGGCTTGTTTGCGAGCATATATCGATTTGCACTTTTGTCTAGCTACTATCTTGGCGCAGCACCGGTAGTGGCTCCGTGCGAAGTTCTAGTCAGGTCATTCATCCTTGGCGAATGAATATTCAGCTACAACACACACGATCTTATCAATGTACCGAAGTATAAATAAGTTACAAAGTAGTACCATAAAAGTTATTTGATAATGAATAGACAGAAACCCCATCATACTGCGAATCGGTCGCTAAAATCTAGACCGACAGAGGTGGTGTTTGGCAAAAAACACGAACCGTGATAACCGACTAGCGGTAGACTTGTATGCGAACATTTACCAAGTTGTACCACTGCCTAGTAAAGCCAAGTAAAACGTTACGACGAGGATGACTTGTATGGGCCAGTTTCCCAAAAGAATTAATGTGCGTAGTCAAAAGTAGACATCGGGAGAACTGCAGTAGTGACTTGACAACCTAAAGTGCTTACCCAGAAGAACGGGAAAAACTGAAAAGAATATTGCTTGTAGTGTGAAAACCCCAGGCACTAACAAACCGAAGGTTCATTTCATGAGAGACTGATGAGGCTCTTAGACGCGAAGCGTAGAAAGTCAACCTACAGACTTCTGTACTTTTCATTTACGGGAAGAGTCCAAGGTACATTATAGTTGTGTACCGCACGTAGGTGCTTCATTGCGGTAGCAAAGTGTTATTCATCGCTGTCAACAAGCATCTTGGGATACTCTGTAAGGGGCTGCTGGTACCTGGCTCCTCTTTGTAGCGAAAACAAATATCATGACCCTTCCATCGTGGTCGTTCAGATGATCTTGCAACCAGAGTGAGGAACCAGCGCTTCGATTTTATTGATGCCTAAAACAATGTCGTCAGCATGTTTTAGTAGGGTCGCTTCTGCTGGTTCTGCTATTGAGCTGACATAAGTAAAAAAGAGAAGAGGTGACCGAAGTGCTTCTTGAAGAACACAAAAGTTGGTGATTAGTGGGAGGAGACATCTGCCACTGCGTCGGGTGGGTAATCTGAGTGTGCGTCCAGCCACCAAATGAACGATGGAGGGGTGTATTCCTTGAATGAGTAGATCTTTTACCAGTAATTCGTGGATGCTTTATCTTAATAAAGGAACACGAGTTGGTTTGTTTCTCTTGTCAAGTGATGACGTTACAGAATGAAGGAGGCGGGCCAGTGCATTTAGAATAGACCTCGAACTAGGTGAGCTGAAGGGGGTCATTCCAATTGCGTTTCGGACAGCATCACTTCAAGTATGATTTTTTCCAAAACCTAACGTGCAACCTTACATGCAAGCGATAGTTTGATAGTTGTTGTACTCTCTTTTGACACTGGTGTGATACTAACACTTCTGCACCAGTCAACGATTTTGTGTTGTTGCATGTGCATTATGTGTGCAAGCGCAAGAAACCTTGTCAAATGTCAGCCATTTGTGTACCATGGGAAATCGTCTGTCAGGGCAGCTAGTTTTACCGGAATTTAAATGCTAGAGTCATTAATTCACAGTTACACTGCCGACAGCAGGCAATGGGTCTACATACCCCAGAAATCCGGCAAAGGAAGCTTCTGAGGCTGTATTAGTATCAGTTACAGGACTCCTGATTCACACTCTCTACTTCCGCATGATTCATTATGGGTCGCACGTCCAGTAACTCTACTAGTCTGTTTCAGTCTCATCCAGATTTCGCAACAACTGCGGCTTCCAAAAATAGACCGGTTTTACACTTATTACGACAGCGTAGCTCTTCCTTGATCCGAACAGTGAGAGATCACTGAGGTGTCATCTTTTTCTTCAACTACCTTCTTAAATCGGCGAAACCGCTTCCGAGGTGGGGTGTGTAGAATTTCCTAAGGACATTGTATGTCAACTGAGATTTAGTTAGCTTGTTAACTTGTCGCAATACTTTGCTGCGTCGGTGTTAAAGGATAAACTATTCCATGAATGCAACTATTTCACAGGTCGACTGATATTTTGTAAAGAGCACTGCTTCTACTTGAATCCTCGATGGTTGCGGCGAGTGCTATCTTGATGGTGTGTCTTGATACGGATGTCACGCGACGCCTGAATTGTTGAGTGCTCGGAATTACCAATCATTGCCCGATGGCATACTGAGTATCACTTTATGTTATTAACGAACCCCAGTTCGAGACTTGCGTCCAATCTCGTGGGCAATTTTACCAGGTTCCGTAACCCTAGAGTGGTGCGAAATGAAATATCAAATCTGTTGAAATCTGCGGCGAAGATAACTAGAGAACAGTCGATGAGATAGCTGCTGCAAATTCGTCATAACTGATATGTGCCTCAAGTTTTGAACAGGTAAGAGATGTGTAGATCTTAGCCGACAATGTGAAGCGGTACCCACTCAGAAACCTCGGATGGCAGTGTAGGACTCAACAGTTGATAACTTGTGAAGAGAAACAGTTGCAATACATTAAGATTGATTCGTGTGTAACTAAGGGCTCCATCACCTCTGTTTCGGTACGTGCTTTGGCGGTCAACCTGATGATAAATAAATTTTACGGATTGGATAGCATTATCCATTTTTTTCGTACAACCAAGTTTCTTGCAACCGGATGATACCAAGCTGCGACAATTGTTTGGAAAAGACGTTGCATGATAGTTCATCTAATTTTCCCTTGAGCGAAAGTCTGTTTGCCCTAAACAATACTGGCACGCTCAGATTTCCCAATTGTTTCTTTCGAAGTTTTCTTACAGTTACTGCACCTCATTTTAGTTCTTTTCAATTTGTTTCTTATAACACGGCCGTTGGAAAATGCGCCATCCACAAGCGTATAAACACCTAACGATTTCAAAATATCGCGCGGGTAGATTAGCATCGCAGAACGAATGATGAACGAAAACAGGAACATCTCAATAACAACTAAAGTGTGCGGACATGTGTGTTGTTAAATTGCACAGACTAGAACCGTACGGCTCGGCGGGTGCTGTATACTTAATTGGCAGTCTCCACACCCCGGGCTTTAGCACCGGTTCTTGTGCAGGTTTGAGTGCCTTGGAAGTATCCCACAGCCCGGATATAACCGCTTAAGGCGAATTGTCCGTGAAATATCTGTATTTTTGATACCTCTTGGATATCGATGGTATAGTTGTTCAGGTAATTGTCCGACAATCGCTGCGCACCGGGTTCGAGTCTACTCTCCTATCTATGTTCTGGCATCCTTGCAGTGTTCCCACCATATACTGTCGCTTGCTGTTGTATTGCAACCATGCATAAATACGAACTGCTGGTGTTTTGCAGATACCTTCACTCTTCCGTGAGCTTACAAGGCTGGACTATTGGATGCTGGTTAAGCTTTAGCCTATTGACTGTGTGTGTGTATGTCAAAAGCTATCCGTGATGCTCCCATTTCCAGGCTACATACAATCAACCTCATTGTGTCAGTAAACATCACGTAAAGCTAACTACAACGACATGAAGAACCGATGGACCTCAGTGTCCAATCATTTATATGACCGAACTGGGCACTCAAAAGTCTCAGTGTATATTTGTTCTATACCCATCGTAGTCTATTCAGATGAATGATTTTTCCTTCTCTGTCACCATTCTGCTTGTCGCCTAATTCCAATGGAGGAACACTATGATTTGTCACGCAGTGATCATATCACTGTGAGCATCATCTTCCTTTGCTCAAACACAATCGTTCTCCTATTGTCTCAATTGTTACGCACAATTCGCTATCATCCACACGATGGCGTTGGCTTTCTTCGACTGGTGAACTCGTAGGTAGGTAGGTGCATGTCAAAATTCTGCACTAACGTTTACTTGATTTAAACAAGCGTTTTGGTGATCGATTAATCACTGGCCTGCAGCGAACCGGGTGCATGAGCCGGCCGATTACCCCGAGCTGCTGTTTCCTAACACCCTGATTCCTAGAGTCCTAGAGGTCACAAGAGGACTTCCCTTAAACGGCCAGCGCTGACAAATATCATACACTTTCAACCAATCATTCAATACACGTTAGCTGAGGGTTAGTAACGCATTTCGGCTAATGTACCGCGATACAAAAAAACACCGTACAACGAAATACAAATGTGAGTAATATACTGTTAAATAATATTTCACATATTAGGTATGAGATCGTGATTGGAGGGGGAATCTAAAGGAGAGGGGAATGCACAAAACTCAACACGGACGCTAGTGGGACCTGCTCTTCGCCATGTCAACAAGTGTGTCCAACCAAACGGCAGCCCGGCAGTCGGG